GAAAAAAAAAAAAGGATACAAGAGAGAATGATATACAGTAGTAAAGCCGCCTTCAAAACAAAAGAATCTTTGTATTTTTTATGTTCATTCATACAGGACAATTTTTTTTTTTCTTTTCCATTCATACGCGAGGACGATGCATGAATCTTCACTTGGATTCGAACCCAAAAAAAAAAAAAAAAAAAAAAATCGACTTTGATCGATCAGCGTACACAAAAAGTCGAAAGTTATAGGTTCTGGTCATGTCCGCGAATATAACAACAACGAACTGCAAGAGTATTATCATTCAAATTCCAAATTTAATTTGTGCAAGTCCTCATTAGAAAAAAGAATCTAGAAAAAAAAAAAATCAAATTGGCAAACACCCCTCCCTTCTCCTTCTCCATCGAAGACAAAATGCCAATTCGGAATAACAAATGGGGGCGCGTAAAAAAAAAATTGTTGAAGACAAAATCATGAGGAGGAGGGAACGTCTCCGGGCTATTATGACAGGAGAGTCGGTCATCTCCAGAGACGAGAGGAGAACACAGACCGACTATCTAGGAGGAGGAAAAAAAAAAAAAAAAAAAAAGCATACACGAACTGGTTTGCTCAATCCTGCCTCCTCCCCCTACTGTCCCTTCTTTTTATTCATCTAAAGAACAAACGAGTCGACTATCTGTCGAGAGTTCCAATCCCTCTTCCGCCAGTAGTCTACCCACCCACCTTCTCTCTCCTTTCCCTTTCTTGTCCGCGTATGAAAACACTAGTTACTTTTTCCATAGTCTACATACATGTACCAAAAGAGAAACGAACTAAACTATACTATCAAACTTTCTATTTATCCTTAAAAAAAGAAGGATCAAACTTTCTATTTATCCTTTAAAAAAAAAGGAAAACTCCAATATATCTTGGAAAAAACCCCGAAAACCTCTACCACGGGAGCTCAACGCTTGGCCCAAGCAGCGAGTCTCATGCCTGACCTGTATATACCCTTTCACCCGTTCTTCAGCAAAAGAAAAACTCCTCCCCTCCTAGACCACAACCCACATCATTTCATCAATCAGTCTGTCAATCAACCGAATACCTCGTAGGGAAATACAAGCTACATCTCAGAGACTAAAACTTTTGTCCTCAACCGAGGGAAATACAAAGTACACCTCACAGAACTAAACTTCACCCTCGAAAATACCCAAAGAAAATTGTCCACTTCGAGCGCCTGCCCAAGGATGCTATGGGGCAAGGACAGTGACAAGCTAATCCATACAGACGAGGGCCACGCTCAGAACAGCACGTGAAAGACGGCAGGGAGGGAGAAAACGAAAAAAAAAAGAGAGAGAGAGAGAGAGGGGAGGGGGGGGACGCTGAGCGAGGGAGGAATTTGACAAATAGAAGGGAGAAGGAAACGGCCAACGAGGGCAAGAGAAAATGGAGTAAGAGGGAAAGAGGGGCGGGAAAGGGAGAGAACAAGACGTCAGAGGAGAGAGGCAGAAGAAGAGCAACATAGGAAGAAACGGGGGGGGAAGGGGGGAGGACACGGAGAGAGAGAGAGAGAGAGAGAGAGAGAGAGAGAGAGAAAGGAGGAAGTGGGGCAATGCGGAGCGAGGGAAGACAAAAGCCACACGAGTGGAGACGGGAAGAGAAGAAACGACGAAGAGGGAAAGAAATCACAACCAGATTTAAAGACGAGGGCAAGACGGAGAGAGTAGACGTAAGAGTAATTGGTGTGGAAAGAAAAACTCAGAAAATAAACGCGCGGGGGAGAGAGAGAGAGAGGAAGAAAGGGGGAACACTACCTTCATCCCACTCGTCCGGATGGTTCATAAAGAACGTCAGACTGGTGCTTCCAACGGAGTCGGACGTGAAGACACCTCCCTCGTTCCGCTCCCCTCCCCCTCCTCCCCCCCTCCCCCCCTCCCCCCCTCCTCCCCCCCTCTTCTTCACGTCTTTCATCTCGTCATATGTCGCCATATCCGGAACGGCGGCGAGCGCGGAAGCAAATGCTGAACCACCCCTCCCACGTCAGACATCCCGATGTACATTTGCTCATTTCGACTAAGTCCAGCTCCTCAGGTCGTTCCAAGCCAACAGCACCTGAGCTGTGCTTCGCAAAGCTCTCAACCTCCACCCGTAGCGATGGATAATGCACCCTGGGTTACCCCCCACACACACACAAAAAGGGTTACCGATTGATAATGCACCCATGGTTACCCCCCCCCCTCCCCGACCCCCTCCCCTACATAAAAAGGTTCCACTAGCAGCGCAGGTAGTCCAGACGGCAATGACGCGCAATGCAGACAGCCGTGGCGGGAAATGCAGACGGTTCATGGCGCGCACTGCAACGGCGACGCTGACCACTGCACCAAACGGAAATGCAAACGGAAATGCAAACGGAAATGCAAACGGAAATGCAAACGGAAACGCAAGCGAAGACGCAAAAGTAGAACCGCACACGGCAATGGCGCGCAGCTCAGGAACTCGCTCTGGACAACAATCTACGCTCGTCTTTGAAATTACTATAGTGCCATGTTCTGAATCCGCGGGTTCGGACTTATGGTTATATCCCCACTCAGCTGTCTGACCGATGGGTTGGTCCAAAGGGGGGTGGGGAAGGAGGGAGGAGTACTTGAACGATTGGGCTGGTGCAAGGGATAGCAAAGAGTAACTGCTGGAGCTGGTGCTCAGCAGACCGGGCGGAAAAGGAGGAGGAATATGAGCGAAGTGCCCTCTTGACTACCCCTCTACTAGAAACACCAAAGATGAAGGACTAAAGGTTGAGCGCGATTCGTGGTTGGAACTGAGCTTTGTTGGCTTGAAATCCTGATGAATGTGAATGATGATGGCCCGCCTTTTCTCACCGACAAGAAGAGGGCGGAGAAGGCAAGAGCCGAAAGGGAAAAGACATATGGCTCGCCCAGCTTTTCGAGCGGAAAAGCCCAGCCAGCAGCGCGGCCGCCGTGACCGAAGAGAAAGGAGGACGTAGGAGGAAGACTCACGAAGATGACAAGTTCAATGAATCAAGTCCTGATTAGGACTCGCTGACAATTGGGACTGTCAATCATCATACCCTTCATCGGCAGAAAAGGACGTACAAACGGCTCAGCGCCCCGATCGGGGGGGCGCCAGGGGGGCGCCAGTCCCCCCTGGTCGGTACTTTCAAGGGGGGACCACCATGAGGGACAAGGAAATCTAGACCTGGAACACCGAGCTGGACTGGAATGAAGACGAGACAGGAGGAAAGGGGGACCTGGAACGGATCCGGAACAGATAACCTGGACCGGATCCAGAACAGATCTGGAATGAATCTGGACAGATCTGCCATATCTGGAACAGATCTGGGATAAACCTGGAAAACGGACGCGGAAGGACCTCAGCAACCGATCTGAAACTGACATCGAAGGGTCGGGATGAGCGATTTGGCGCCGCCTTTTTCATGGGTTTGATCTTATTAGGTGGGGGGGGGGGGGGGGGGGGGGGGGGGGGGGGCACCTGGGCAGCGCTGGGGGGGCAGACAAGATGAAGATGAATGACAAATCAATCAGAGATCATCATCACCTCGACCTCAAGCTCCATCCAGCTGGCTGCTCATTGCGCCTCCCAACTCCCGGTCATTACCCCCAAGCCATCGCCAACTCGTCATCATTGCCACCAAGCCATCGCCAAATCAAAGGACCCCAATCGCCAAATCAAAGGACCCCAATCGCCAAATAAAAGGACCCCAAGCCATCGGCAAATAAAAGGACCCCAAGCCATCGGCAAATCAAAGGACCCCCCGCAGTCGTGAAGGAGGGGAAGGGAGAGGAACTCCCGCGCCCTGAAAATACCGAGATGACGTAACAACCGGCAGGCGGTCCTGGGACTCGGTCCACGTGTCCATGTGTCGAGTCTTGGCAGGCTTATCGACGACCCGTCCCGACCACCCATCGACCCACCTACCCACTTACTAGTCTATACCTGACAAGCGACCGCGACGTCCCAACCGCCGATTGAAGATCGCAGAGGAACGATGATGATGATGGTCCGTCTGATCTCTCGTGTTCCGAAGGACTCCGGAAGTGGACCAGGTACAGATGACATATACTAGTATGTACCGGGAACTCACGCAATGACCGGTAGACGGTCCAGCGACTCGTTCCAAGGGTTTATTTTCGGCGGCTTGATGGTTCTCATGGCTCGCCAGACGGCGCTATTACACTTGAACCCACTGCCAAATGCAATCTGCCATATCCTGTCCCCTCTCCTAACCCGACCCTTAGCTTCGGAATAAGCGAGTTCATACCAAATCGAAGAACTAGACGTGTTTCCAAACCTATAAAGAGTCATTCTAGAGGGCTCGACGTGCCAGGGCTTGAGCTGGAGGTTCTTCTCCAGTTCATCGATGACGGCACGCCCGCCCGCGTGAATACAAAAATGCTCAAAGGCTAACTTAAAGTCGGGAATGTACGGTTTGATCTTCATCTTGAAGAGTTTCCTAGCGACAAGCGTAGCGAAGAAGAGGATCTGCTCTGAGAGAGGGAGGACAAGCGGACCAAGCGTTGTGATGTTCGTCTTCAACGCATCACCCGCTATGGCCATCAAATCTTTGGAAAGCGAGACTCCCGTGTTTCCCTTGTCATCCTCCTCCTGATAAACACACTTATAACACGTGTCATCTGCGCCTTTGTGCGTACGAACGGAGTGAACTAACTGATACTTAGCGCGACGGCGCTCACGATACTTGTTCGACAACAAGATAGCGGCACCACCCATGCGAAACAAGCAATTGGGAAGAAGCATAGAGCGTTGATTGCCAAAATACCAGTTCTGGGTGATGTTCTCCATACTGACGACGACGGCATAAGAATTGCCGTGCACTTGCAGCAAATCTTTAGCCAAATCGATGGAAATAACGCCAGCGCTGCAGCCCATTCCGCCGAGACTGTACGTGCGAATACTCCCACGCATCTTAAAGCGATTAACAATCATGGCAGAGAGCGAAGGAGTCGGATTAAAGAGGCTGCAATTGACAACGAGAATGCCGATGTCCTTAGGCTTCACCTGCGTCTTCGCGAACAACTCCTCCAACGCGCCGAACATGACGTCCTCCGCCTCTTTGCGAGCCTCGAACATCGACGGATATGGCGGCTTGTCGCGCACAGCGCGAGGAAGATAGGTCTCCTCTCCCAGTCCCGACCTGGCGATGATCTTCTTCTGGAACTCGATGCTCTTCTCGTCGAATTTCCGACACTCCGTCGTTCCATCGATGAACAAGGAGATGGTCGACTTCAGGGAGTCCGGAGGGAGGTAGCAAGAATAGTCGACGAGATAGACAGGTCGGGGTCGGGACATGAGGAAGACCGTAGCGCCGAAGACGAGAGCAGTGGAGCAGCAAACGACGCTAAGCAGATTGAACTCGAGATGCTCCCATAGCTGCAGCAAATCGTCGGGGCGCATGCGACTCAACTCCACAGCGACGGCCAAGATCAGAGGGATGAGGAGAAGAGTAATGCCGTGAGTAATGAGGTAATGATACCCCAGCTTCACGTGCTTGAGATTAACAGACTGAAGGAAATCAGGGAAGCGATCAAGATAGTGCGGCCGACGTGCGACGACAGGCGAAGCAGAAGCAGCGGGACGTGGCTCTCCCTCTCTGCTGGGAATCTCCTCCCTTCTCCCTTCTGAAACCGTCGCTGTCACCGGCGGTCTTCCCCCATTGCCCTCCGGCTCCATAGCTGCTCTGTTCACTACTACTCCCCCCATCGTTCCACGTGGCGTCGCTTCCGGCGGCGCCATCCCCCC